CTCAGTTGGATCAAGCTCACCTTACCAAAGATCTTGGTGGTTTAAACTTTACAAACCTACTACTCTTAATTTAGTTCTCTTGCTAAATTAGTTTGGGCATTACTATATTCACCAATTCATCCTGGTCTCATTAATTAGTGGTTAAATACTTGAAAGATGTCACTAGCTATAATTTCTCTCCTTTTTTGTTCTTCTGTAACTCCTTTAATCTCCCATTTGAATTTGAATTTTTTTCTTTTTAGATATATACTTAATAGAACGAGAATAGAGATGACAAGAATTTCTCTATATTTTGAATATGTTTTTGAAGCTTTTCCGTGTGGAACGAGCATCGTGACGATAAATTGTTTGAATTTATGGTTATTGCTGAATTACAAAATGACAAATACTTGATTCAACATTATGGAATTTCATAATATATGAAGAGCCTCATTTTGAACTCTTGATTTCGAAGATGATTATTGGATTTATCTTTTTGTAATTTGAAACTTCAAATTGCTAGTTAAGAGAGGAGGTTTGGTACTTTGCCTCATGTTAATGAAAAAATAAGCAAATTAAGTACATTGTATTACTTTTGTGAAAATCCAAATTGAAATATGAGTTACGATCTTCTGGAATTAGAGACTCTTATTATAATATTGTTGTAAAAAGAAAAAAGAACATATACAGTAGTTTTACTTAGTTCATGGTAATAAAATAAGGAATGAAAATGTTCTATGGACTATTATTCAATTTATAATCTTTTGGCATTGAATGTTGTTTGGATAATAACATGAAATTCTTTCAAAAACAGCTTTTTTATAAGATTAATTTTGTTTGTCAACACATAAGTCTTCAAAATGGGATTTATGATTAATTAAATAAACAAGATAATATTTTTTTAATTATAGAAACTATATCTTCAAAATGATTAGGATTGTTTGCTTTAATCTCGATGAATTCTTTTAAAGGACCGAGTTTTTATTGTATGTTTATCATTCTAGCAATTTCAAAACTTGTGTCATGTGTTCTCAAGGGGAACTATTCTTTTTCCTAATCAATGGTCGAAGTTAAAAAATTCAAGACTTGAATTTTTAATTTTATTTTGCTCTCTTTATTTTTATTTTCATTTTTTATTATACTTTAAAATCTGCCTCCCCAAACCTGACTTACAAATATTATTGTTATTATTACTTTTTTTTTAATTTCATAGTTACACATACATACTCTAATTAGATCTTTAAGATGTACATACTAGTTATAATAAAAAGATAGTCTACATTTTAGAGTATGTGCCTCACACTTGTTTACTCTATACAATTTTACTCTAAATTTATAATAAAATGACTAGTGCAATAATTAGTTTCTGACTCTGTTTCTTACAGGATTAGTGATAATTTTCTTTAATTTCAAACCCTTAAAGAATTTAATGAAAAATAAAAATTTCTCTCCTTTTTGTGGAGTTTCGTCTCATGATATCTTTTTAGAAAATTTTGTCCTGTATCACCACGTGACAACAACTAAATAATACTCAATCTATTATAGATACATATTGAGTAGAAAAGTGTTTATTTGCCAAAGTGAGCCAAATTCTATAAGCTATTGCACATTTTAGAAAGCTTTGACATACTCTTTTACCGAACTGATACTATTTGCATTTATGGAGAATTTGTATGAGAAACATTGTCGGGATCAAAATTAATTCACGACAATATGTGCTTTATAATAATGAAATGAAAACCTATCTTGATATGATCTTTTACTGTTTATTTACTCAAGTAGTTTGGTTTTTTCGTCATTGGGCCTTCTTATGTATATAATTAGGGATATGACCATCTCTTCTTAGATCTGAAGATTGATTAAGTAACGAAAAAATATCAGAAGTACACATGCAAATTTTTGATATCATATTTTGATTTATGTAGTGATTATTATAAATCATACGTGATATTATTGTAATCGCATTCTGATTTATGATATTATTTTAGATTTGTATATATTTTTGATGATATTAGGATATTATTATTAAGAAATTTGTGGTACTAGCTCATTGAGGTGGCAACAGAGATGTATGTAAACAGATGAGTAGGTAATTTAATAGCAACATAGCTCGAGAAAAGTATGGGCCATAGTATGTAAGTTAGTGATAATCTAATAGTCTTATTCACATCCCAAACACATGGCATCATTAATACTTGGACACAAATTGCTAATAGAAGGAATCCAATTGAAGTAAATGGAGCAATACTTAATACAACTTTTATGTTAATTCAAAAGACAAGTCTATATTTTATGACCATATATAGTAATTCTTTATTCATTATTACATTGTTGTTGAACTTGATGCGTTAGACTTGTACGAATTTTTATCTAGTTAAAACTACTAAATTACAAGTTCTTTTAACTTATTTTGTAAAATAGATATCTTTACAGAATAAATGAATTATTGTACATAAATATGAAGGATTACTCATTAGTTGATTTTATTTAAACTACGTAATATCTAATTATGTAATAAAATTTCTGGTAATTTATATATTTTAACATATAAAATCTAATTTATATGGAAAGTTTTTTAAACTTATCCTATTAAAGTGTAGCTATAATTTTACAAATATGATTTAGAAAATTTTAAATATTTTATACATTTAACATTTTTGTACTAAAGAATACTTTATTTTGTGTATTCCTCACAATCTGTGTATACATACAAAAAAAGTAAGTCTCTGGAATGTTTTAATTAAGATATACAAATTTTACTTGAGAAATGCTCTCCTACGCAAATCAACATGATTTTCCATTACAACCGCCGTTGATTCGTATCAATTATGAGTGATGAGAAAAATCAACGGAGGATGATGTTTGTTTGATTGGTAAGTGTTGTTGTGGGCCCATGGAGTTAGTTGAAGGTTATTAATTTTTCTCACCAAATAAATAATTAGTGCTGACTCGTGTTTGCTGCCAAATAATTGAGTGATTGAGACCGGCCACATGGCTTTCTCGACTTTTCCTGTTCACATGCATCCGTGCATGTATTTACATGCAATGGCATCATACATGCATCAATATATCCGCATATATATATATATATATGTAGAATTATGTAAGACCTGGGGCCCCCCATGGCAAAGACAGTGAAAACTAAGCTTAAGCTGGCCAATTTGCATGACCCAACTTCCTCTAACTCATGCATGTTTTCAGGCTGCAAGTAGAAAGTTGTGCTTGTTTTCCGGTACCATATTTAGCTCATTAATTTAAGTTAAAATTAAAATTAAAATATTAATTATTAATTTAACACTAAATTGTAGTCACAATTAAAAATAATAATAATTATTTTTAATAAAGCAGTCTGAGTTCAAAAAAAAAATGATTAAGCAAAGAAAAAAACAAAGAGTTGGTTTTGAATCGTTTATTTTGACAATAAAATCCTCAAATTATTACCTTTCAATGGTGCACTTTTAATATCTCCTTTTGGATTAAAGTGAGAAGTTAATTATTATTTTAATTGAAGTCTCTTTCCATGTTAATATTAAGTATTAAATAGACCAAAGATAATATCTGATCATACTATTTTATCATAATAAAAAATATTTAATCTCGATATACTGTGAAATTTATGATATACCAGAATTGTATGGAGGCTCATAATATAAAAAAAAAAGATATGATTTATTGTCTTTAATAGAAATAGTTTAATTCAAATAGTTATAAATCTTTTTTTATAAGACATGTATGATTTAACTCTATTATTTTGTTGTTATCATACCAAGATCATGTTAAAAACTTCTCAAAAAAAAAAAAAAAAGAATTGGAGTTGACTAAGAAAAAGTAATTTTTGTTTCACACTAAGAACATTAGGCCTTTTAAAGGCAAAATGTGTAAAGAATTCATTAGATATTATTCGACATACCTATTTATGAAATAAATCATATTGTTTTGTGTTACATTGCGATCATACCTATTAATGTTGTCCTATAAAATTATATATACATATATCTATCTATCTATCTATCTTTAATAATAATTTACAACTATTTAAAGGAATTAGATATTAATAACTTGAGTGAGCCTGAGCACATGGACTTGTTAACAAACATGAGACTGGATGGAAAAATAACAAAAGAACAACCTATATCCTAAATTAAACCAATTCTAATATATCAACCAAAAGAGCATAGTCATGATAAGATTTAGAATTATGGCAAGATGATGACATTAAAAGTAAGAAGTAGTTATTTGCTTCTATATTGAAGGATATATAAGGCATGTATGAAGAGATGCATAAATTAACATGAATATTTCCCTAACTTTGAGGAATTGTTTGATGAGAAAATGGCATAAGTTGTCTAAAGTCACTTCAATGTTAGGTTGACCAAGATAACATCGGCTTTACTATAGAAGTTTGATGTGGTTTATGTATATACGAACATAACATCTTCAAACTAGATTTGCTTTACTTATCATGCTTTGAGTATTAATGATAGTACATATTTTAGCATCAAACAACAATCTTTTTAAACATAAAACTTAATGCAATTAGGTCTATGATATATACTTTTCATTTAGTTCATTTGGAGTTCTATATTTTAAATCTAAATTATAAGGTTCAAGCCCATGTTGAAAGTAGAAACTTTCATGAAAATCTCCTCAAGCCAAACCTTTCTTATGAGAAAAACTTTTGAAGCTGATGCTTTTTAAAGAGTTCTTCTCTTGCTAGACGAAACATACATGTAAAAATTTAGGTCTATTTTGCGCACAATATTTTTTTGGTTTTTATTTCTATATTTAGGTATATTTCACTCAAAATCAGACTATTTAGTTAACAAAAGAATATTAGTGAAGATGATAAGTTATAAAGTTTTAAATTTTGTTTTAAATACTTTTTTAAAAAACTCTTATGTTTGTACTTTTATTGTTCCAAAGATATATTGACTCTTACATACTTTTATAAATAAATATATGTTAGAAAACAAAGTTAAAAAATGGTTTCCTGTACAAATAAAACCCAAATTTCTTTTGGTTCTTCTCTCTATGATGAGAGTCATAAGAAAAAAATTCTCTTTAATGTCTCACACAATAGGCCAACAGAGAATCTTAGCTTTGTTAGAACTTTTTCTCTTTGGAAGGAAAAATATTTCTAGAAAAATCTTATGTAGTATTATTTTTAAGTCACCTAGAAAATCTATAAATTTAAGAACAATAAAATATCGAGAAATATAATTTTTCCTCGAAGGGTTAGTAAAACAACCACTGCAATATAGACCGAACAATTTTTAAATTATATTTCATTTGCTCTAACCTTGTGATAATGGTGAATCCAAATCAAAATTATTCTCATATGAGGCCTTGTAATTGGAAGAAGACATCTAATAGGATAGTTGAAGCATCACGAAGTTGTAATATTGATTATCTGAACACAAAGATCGGTCATCATGTAAATGAACTGCAGAAATCTAGTAGAGGTGTAATAGTGAACATTATAAATAAAATTTGAAAGATACAAATAGAACTAACACATTTATGGGATGCAATAATTTTAAAGATAATACAAAGGTAACCAAAGCGAAAGAGACTTACATTAGCAATTTTTACCTGTTAGAAAAACTTATGTGGGCACAAAAGTCATAGCTAGACTAGTTGAAATGTAGGACAAAAGATACTTGATTTTTTAATGCTAATGCTTCAAAATAGAGAAAAAAAAAGCACTTTTAGGAGAAATAAAAACTTAGTTGGGAGATGGGAATAAGGCCCTCTTAGGATGAGCAAAATCTCTTACTAGCATTTTGCATCCATGTTTAGGGAGGGGGAGGTTACGCGTATGGTTAGATTTCATGGTATAAAGGCCAAAATCACACCAAAAATGAATACACAACTCATAAAACCCTATATGCAACAAATATTCTTGTTGTACTTCAACGAATGCATTCCACTAAAATAAGAAAATTAAATAATGTCTTCTTTAAACTTCAAAAAAAAAAAAAAAATAAGGCTTGTTATCAAGTATTTTCTTGTTTTTAAATGATAGATACCTACTTGATTTTATGAATTATAGATTTATCACAATTATCTCTAAAATCAGGTAGCATCAACTCTCATTCATATTTTAGATAAATTAATTCGGCTGTTACAAGGTGCTTATTATCAAGATGCCCAACTTTACCTATTGCTTATTTATTATAAATATAACCACTTGTTTATTGCTAAAACAATTACTTATTTATCAAGATGTCTAACTTCATCTAGCATGTACTCCACCAAAACACAAAACTTGTGTGTCCTAATAAAAGATTTTCAAGGGATTTCTCCCAACCCTATTTAAAAAACCTAATAATATAGAAGATGAAATTTTTGCCTTTTTTTTAAAAAAAAAAAAAAATCTTAAAAGAGTATATTTACAACTTAAAATTCACTCGGGACTCAATCAACACTCAAAGAAAAAATAAATGAAGACTCTAGCTTGATTCTTCCAAAATGATTACTTAAAAACTTTAAAAGTCGTGAATAAGTAGAATTTAAAGAAGTTTTTGTGTCGAAAATATTAATTTTGATATTAAAAATTCATCTCTACATTATTATTTTTTTTTTAGCAAACTTTATACAACAAGATGATTCGAATAATTTGAATCGTTATCATGAACACTTTTCCTTCTTTTCTTTATGATTATGACCATCACGTTAATTTAATTTATTTGACTTGCAACCACATTCATGCTCAAGATTATTAAATCCATTTCATTCACTTCAAAATACAGAATACAATGGGTTGGGCAATCTTCATTATTTTTTCTAACTGCAATAACACAAGAAACTTATTAATCTTTTCTGAAACATTTCTTCGGACGAACATGTTAGTGCCGTGAAAATTTGAGAATGTGTCCCTTTTACAGTTTCATGAATAATATATATATATACATATATATATTTTTTATTTTTATTGCACAAATTTAAAGCTTATATGAATACTGCACATTTATAGTCACTTGAAATTTTAAGAAAATCAAATTGATAACAAGCTTTCTAAAAAATTATTAAATCTGAAATATATCTTTTATGATAAGATATTCAAATTGTTGAAAAGTCATTTAATTTTATTTCTTGATGTCTTTTTCACTATAATTTGGCTTTCCAGTGTATTTTTTTTTTTTTATATATTTTAAATGGTTGTGTTATATTTAAGCGTGTTAGAAAATAGTTACTATAACAAATTTAATTAATAAATTAATAACAATAAAAATATTTAATATAGTTATTAATTTGTTAGTTCTATGAATTAATCAAATATAATTCTTTTCAAATATTTTTTAAATAGTTAACATGTTAAAAAATATAGAAAAAAAAAATAATATGTTTGAAATAAATAGAAAATATTAGAAACTAAATTGTAATATCATCATTTATGGAGATTGTGACCAAAGAAACTGACTGACTGTCTTAGCAACATTGTTCTACCAATATTAGACAGACAAAGTGGGAAAAGGAAATGTCAGCACAGACTGACATATGTGTTTCCTACAAATTGTTTAAATTTTCAAACAACTCCACACCACATATGCATTCATGATCATATCCTCTCCAAAGAAACTTCTTTGTCAAGGAAAGTGGACGGCCAAGTTACCATTACAAATTGACTTAAGCAAATTGCATCTGTTTGGGAAGTGAGAAAATACAAGGGAAACTTAGCAAGATATCATACTTTACCTTTTTTAATCTTTATGGTTGGAATTCTTACGTACCTCTATTAGATTGCAGCAACTGGAAAAAGAGAAAAACAATCATAGCAAATCAAATAAGTCCTGTTTGGCAGCCTAGCTAAATATTGATAATCACTCGAGGTTTCCTTGTCCCAAAAGTTTTGAACATTCCAAATGACTCACATACTTGGTCTTATATATTCTTTGACCCGGATTCTGAATATGGATTTCCCTAGCTACAAGGAGTTCTCAAAATCTGAGTTCCCACATTATCAAACAACCAGTCCTTTCTTTCATTCTTTGTTTTATGATAATGCAAAATATTATACTAAACATTGAAAATACTACATCTAAGTATACCCGTCGTACAAAATAATTTCTCTTCACACAAGATCAGCCAGCCGTGCTTTCACTAGCAACGCATAAAAGTTAGAGAAAACAAATTTCCGAGTAGGTTTAGCAAACGAGACATGCATCTGGACACTTCTTCCTTTCCCGTCTCCATAGCAGCAAAGTGAGACACTTGTCTATTGAATGGAGTCTAATAAACAGAACAAGTTAGTCGCCAATTAATTAAGTTAAACATTGTTCGATTCAAGAAGCTGCAGCTCTCATTCAGGAAACTGGAATAGTAATATCAGTCGCGTAGATTAAGTGTTATCCCAAAGGATTGTTAAGCAACGCTGGTTAGATTAGTTACCTCAGCAAATGCAGAGGTCTGGAACTAGTTGGTGAAGCTCTAATGAAGGCTCTCACCACTGCATTAAAAACCAACATCAACGTCCGTATAGCTAACACATCAACCACATCAACAACCGAGTAAAAATGTAATTTGCAGAAGATAATCAAGAAATTTTAACTTTATTCACTGCATAATATATTCAGTACATAAAATATATTCTAGCCTCCACAGAATTAAGTCAGACTCATATGGGTAATCAGTTAATCTCAAAACCAACCTGAAACATCCTTCTCCTCCTTTCTCTTCTTCTTCTACACCTTTAAAATCAACCTGCCATGGACAGGCTTCAGCAGGTCCATATGCTGCTAGATAACAGCAAGAATATCACTCCAGCAAGAGGATGTCCTCACTAACGGATTGCAGAGTTCAGGCTCTTAATGAAGGTCAAGGCCATTGATTTGAGATGATTAAAAATGCCCAATCATTTTCTTTGTGGGTGAGTTAATTTAATCAAACTATGATTTAGCTGCATAATTTCACGGTGCATGCCACAGCCTGTGCCCAAAATTTGAGTCTTGCTTTAACATCTTCTGGATGGTCACCTGGAAAAGGGCAAGCGGAAAAGACCACTTAAACTCAAAAGCTTGATCGAAATTGAATAAATGAACATGAAAAGCAAACTCGTTATAATCTCTCATTCTTTCTCACACTGGAGCTTTTCTTAATAATGCGAGAAAACTAGAATGATACTTGTAGAAGTGTTACATAAACTAATATAACACACCAATATCAAATCTCTTGCCAAGCCAAATAACCACATTAGACCAAACAAACCCTGTAAAGAAGAAATGTGCTTCTTACTGATTAGGCAGGATCGTGCTTTTCCCAAAGCAGGTTAACTTGATGTCCAACAGATCCATAAAATTTACAATCTTCTCATCATAACCCATTATTTTCTCAATAAATCTTAACAACTATAAAAACAACAGTTGCCTGTCAATCAACAGAGCTTTTGAAGCATACCAATAGATACAAATGAAACTACAATTTGGTAGCATCCAGACAAAGTATTTCATCTAGAAATGGTTCGGCAAACTAAATCACAATCTGAATAGAACAAAAGTTCATACTCCAATTCATCACGGAAAAAAAAAAGAATCAGATCAAAGACCAAAATTCCTCATAGAATTCACTTACCAGGGCTAGAGATCTTCCAATTGGCAATAGGACTGGAGACGGAATCAGCGAGCGGAGAATTTTCCGGGGTCTTCTGATGATCATCGAGGAACTTCTGGGACATTGAGTAACAGAGCTCAAGCGCAGGCAAGGTGTTGCAGAGCTCAGGTATCTCGTCATAGCTGAAGCCAAAACCTAGATCCAAACATCCTTTCAGCTCATCAAGATCATCATCGGTCAAGCTCTTCGTCCTCTTCAAATCATCCTCATCAACATTCTCCACATACGCTTCTAACAAAACCTGCTTCTTCTTCTTCTTCTTTTTCTTACTCAACAGCTTCTCGCCATTGTTAATTCTTTCCCATTCTTGCTCAATTTCTTCATGAAATTCATTGGAGTACTCCGAGGTTTGAGTTTCGGAAGAGCAAACCCATGAATCTGACTCACAAGACAACCCTCCCATCCTTCTGTAACTCTATCTGATCTGTTTGTCAGTTATTGGAGAGAGCACAGAAGAGTCTCTGGTTATAAAGCTGTGGCCAGACGAGAGGGAGAGACAAATATTTTTGTTTTTTTAATTAAAAAATTAGGAAGTATGTATGTATGTATGATGTGTTTTCATGTATGGATGTTATGTGGGATGTGTATAATAT